CTCACCTCTGAGGTCAAATACAACCCTGATGCGGCCCTCAATAAAATTGAGTCTAGACATTCCACTATCTCACCCATTCTATTAAAAACATTCATTACCAATTCTCCCTCTAGCTGCTAATTCCTTCTCTGTCCTTTGGCTCTAAAGTTTGCGGTATCCCGGTGGTACTGCTACAATTGTTTTCTCTTTGCCAGTGCCACTTTTCGTTGGTCGTCTTCTAGTCTAGCTTCCATCCCTTCTACCGCATTGAAACTCTTTTCACAATATCCCTGATCACCTCCTCAGTTTAATATCTAAGAGAGTCTGCTTTGTCTTTATCCTTCCTGATGTCTTACAATTAATTCCTTTCTCTTGTGATTTTATCATCCAATAGCTTTTCTCTCTTTCTAACCATTTAACCATTTTCAGTGTTACTGTGAGAGAGTAAACTACAGCTGCTTTCCCTCTCATTGTTGGGGGGGAACTCTGATTTTTACTCTGATTTTACTGAATCTCATTCTTTTCCTGCCAAAGTAGCACACAGCCTTATCGCCCTTTCTCAACTTTCTCCTACCACCAATTCTCTCTTGGATTTTTTATTTAAATCACCATTCAAAACTCAGAATATTCAATGCCAAGCAATATTCTCTCAAACACTTATTGTTATCCTCTATTAATACCAACCATTCTTATTGCCAAGACCGTGTATCTTATCTGACTTCTTTCTCCCTCTTTTTCTCTCTTGTTTTGTTCTCACTTTCAATCCATAGGAAAGTCAAGATTGGCCGAAGAACTGTCATGTCTGTCTAGCTATTTCATGTCAATTCCTGTGCCTGGGGAATACTTTCTAAAACACCTGGTGATATTATCCTTAACAGTTCTTCATATGTAGATGGCACCCATGTTGTAGAAGGTCCCATTTTCTCTGAGACAAGATAGGTGAAATGGACTTCATATTCTGTTATATTTAGCCTTGCTTCTATTGCCCTTCCATTTTTCTATTGTCAAATTTCAGAACGTGTATCCTTCCAATGCAATAATCTGCCATTTTATGCTGTATAAAATGCAGTGCAGGCTGATGGTATTGTGTCCTTACTGTGAATTGGTATTTAGTCTTTCCCTATTTATTTGTGAACTAGAAACTCCTCAGTCAGAAATTTCCTAGTTTTTGTTCCATAAGAAAAGGGAGAGCATGAAATATTCAGTAATAACAATTTTTATTTATTTATTTATTTATTTATTTGATTCCTATAGCTCCTATTTCAACAAGTGATTCTGGGTGGCATATATCATAAAACACTAAAACAATTTAAAGAGTACAGCATAAATATATATGGCACCAAGTAAAACTGTTATTATGGATGCTAATAAATTTTCCTTTATTGGGATGTTACTACAGTCAGGAAACGGGGCCTTTAACATAGTCAGGGCCCCACAATCAAGTATTCACAGCCTTGGGAAAAGTGTGATACAAGCCTAATTCTTGCTGATGGTATTTCTGTATTGTTAACCAGGAAATTACTCAAACTACTGATATTATTATAGAAAGAAAAAGAAGGCATTCTATCCAGTCCTTTCTAACAACTTAGAACCCTTTTTGTCCCAAAGCAATTTGGTGCCATTATCATGGTGTCTGCATGTGTCTATGTTTGTGTTTAAACTCAATGAAGCCTTATTCAACTGGATGGCACCATGTAGTCTCCCTACTCTTACATCACACGGGACTGAAAATATATGAGAGGCCCAGATTCTTCTTCTTGCTTACAGTCCACCATTGCTGTTTTGATGTTCTTCTTGTGTTTTTCCCATTTCTGGATCCAAATATTTGAAGTGCATCGAAGGGGAGCAGTAATATGCACGAGTGCATGTGTGTAACATAGTCAAATGTCCCTATTACTATAAGGGTGATGTAATGATTTTGGGACAACTTATAAGCATCAATAATATTTGCATTAAATGTGAAAGGTGGTAGAGACATTGGTAAAGAAAAAGAGAAAGTACCTTTCTAATAGCTTTTGATCACAACCATAACCATAATTTTCTCCACATGTATTTTAAATTTAGCATGAATATTTAAGAAAAAATTCCATCATTTAATGCATGGTTATGGGAATGGCAGTTATTACCATAAATGAGGGGCTGAAAGCAGCAAGTTCTAGACACCTACCGTTTTTACTGCTAATCTGCTAATAAGAAAATAGCTTTATTACTATTCCAGAGTAGCAAAGGCTAATCTGCTACAACTGTGATAGTCATTCTTCAAAGTTTGGTGGGTATTGCCATTCAAAAAGCTGAATGAATTCTCTGGCTGTTCCAAGTCTTGACAAGTTGTCAACATTTACAAAAATGCAGTCATGATTACCAAAATTCATATATGAGTTTCAGATATTCATAACCATGTCTTTGTTTTCTGAACAGAAACCCCCAACACCCACATTTTATTAAATTGAACTCTTTATTTGTTTTTAAAGCTTATAATTAATTTATAAGAGAGAATAAATAATGTTTTTAACTGAATGAAAAAGAAAAGTCCTTTTAACATTGGGACAATTTACAGCCGCTTTCACATAGGTCTTTTGTAATTTCGTCCTTGTGCAAAATGACAATGTATGTACAGCATGGCTTCACAATTTTCTTCATGTATCTTGTTAGAGCTTTGATTTACAGTATTGTATAAATGAAGTATTATAAATTATTGCATAATACTGCATTTCCTCACAGTCAAGAGAGATCTGATGATGATACATTTCAAATGCTGACTTGTAGGTGTCTAGTTTGAAAACGTCTGATAAATCAACCTTTAACATTGATGTTAATGTTTTAACGAAGAATTTTAGCTAAAACTCTCCATTTTAACTCATTAGATCTCCTTAGACAAACTATTCTGATCGGGACCATAATCTCAAATTCAGTGTGTAGATAATAATGTTAGTTTATACATAGCATGCTGTCCAGTGGAGGAGATAAATTGTGGCAGAGGTGCTTTGTTTTTAATCATTATTTTATTTTGGCGTTCAGTGTTCACAGCGGGCAGGGCATAATGCAGAGATATCTTGCTGAGAGCCAGATGTTGCACAATTTTCCTGAGGGTGAATTGGGATGCAGGATAAAAAATGATAAGAGATCATTCTTCAATTATTTGACAATTTACAACTGAATTTCGATAGTAAAATCTCTAAGAAGTCAAGAAGTCACAGAAAACAGTTCATGAGCTGCATGTTGTCCACTATTGACAGAACTCACTGGGATTTGGTTCTATTTATGTTGTTTCACTTGATTTTTAAAGCCTTTGAATACAGATATATAAGATTTATGTGTCTTGTGTTTTGTTGAAAATAGCTGTATTCTTAATTTGAAGAAGAGCCAGAATCAATAAAAAGACTTAAGGTGCTTATGTCAGTTAGCATTAAAAGTCTTTACTATCTCCATTGTAGAAACCCTTCAGATTATATTATACATTATAATAAAATATCTATGAGAAATAATAATCTAAGCATAATGGTAATATTTTTGATTTTAGAAAATAACTCATCTTTTTATTTGCACCACCCACTCTATTTCATTTGAGGCAGCAAACTAAGAAACCTTAATCACAGGAAGATAGAGGTGCTCTGACAATTAAAAATCTCTTGAAATGGCAGAAAGTTAACCTATACTGTATTGTACTGTCCTTGCAAAGCTCACATCTTGAGAATGTTCCCGGCATATTCAGATTCATACCATGGACAAATTCCAGGAATCATCTCTGAACCTTGGGTCAACCAAGCCTAACGCATAAATTCTCCTCATTTGGAGATCTGTAATAAATTCTGCAAAATATATTGACAAAGGCCATTCTTAAAAATAAGTGACTTTCATATTTCAGTGGCTTTATAGGCCACTGGAATTTAGTTTAACTGCTGACTATGATCAATGAGCCAATATGACAAACTGTTTAGAAATCCACACTCTCTTATAATACACCTATTCAATTTTAATATCCTTGGAAGATGGTTCTTTTGTAATCAGAGGGTAATTTTGGTGCTATGCAGTAGTTCAGATTCAAAAGAAAAAAAAGGTGCTTTGGGTATACGTGCTATAGGTACATGTTTAACCCTGTTGGCAAATGATCTCTTCCACTGGCTATGGAAGGAAGACATGTGATCCCAGGAAAAGGAATATGTGGTTCACAGAGCTATGAGCACATGCTACTTGAGCACCTCCAAAGCACCATTTTCCCTTCTAATCCACAGCCCTTCCAATCTGAAAAGAAAGGAAGAGAGGAACCAGTCAATAATTGCTTCAAATTCCTTGTCAATGGAAATCAGGCTAGTTTTGTTTTTATTTTTTTGATAGGTTTTTTTAATACAGTGGTTGAAATAGGCTTTATAAACAAGTAAAGTTTATAGTTTATGTTTTGGTGTTCCCAAGTATTTTTTTGAAGTTCTAAAATATTATACTTTTTAGATTATTAGTTATTTTTAGATTTTAATAATATATCTGAAATTAAGTTGAGTTTGCTTTAGCTAGCTATTAATTTATTGTTGTTGTTTTCCAACTATACCTTCAATAGAACTGATTGAAAAGACTATATATTAAATGTCTCAGCTAATAGACTGTGTTGTTTCTCGGTGTCATATATGTGGGTACATGTATAATTTATTTATTTATATTTTGTCATGTTTATATAGTGCATATTGGAGGCGGTGACCCTTTGAGAGCTGTATGCAGTGAAATTTCATTTTAATGTAGGCCGATTAGTGTACATTTAAAGTGACAATAAAGTTGTTTTAAGGAAATTGGAACTTTTTTTCCTGCATCATAGTGTTTTGCAGTCTGGATAAACCAAATAATATTGAGAGCAGCTTTTAGACACTGCTGTCAAAAGGAAACTTAGGCTGAAATGAATATTACTGAGCTCTTTGGATCCTGTACATGGATTTTTTTTTTAATGAGGCTGGAAATTCTGTGCTAAATAAAAATTATGTTTAAACTTATCACCGAGTCTTTAAAATATAAATCAAACTACTCTGTTTTAATAGGAAGAAATACTGAAGAAGAAGAAGCTATGATGCAAGAATGGTTCATGTTAGTCAATAAGAAAAATGCCTTGATAAGAAGAATGAATCAACTTTCTCTTCTGTAAGTATGTCTTGATTTGTGAATTACAATGCAAAAGTTGTTAATTTTTCTGCTTCCTTTTAGAATACTTTATAGCAGTGGTTCTCAACCTGTGAGGTCGTCACAGGAGGTCCACGAAGGCTTGAAAAAATGTTATGATTTAAATCTTGAGTTAAGTCTTGGGGGTCCTAGCCATGGTCCGTGGCCACAAAAGGTATTTAAAGGAGTCTGTGATAAAGAAAAGGTTGAGGATCATTGCAGACTGGACTGGACTGGACTGGACTGGACTGGACTGGACTGGACTGGACTACAACACAACACAACACAACACAACAAAACACTTGGCCAAGTGTGATTAGATACACAAGGAATTTGTCTCTGGTGCAGAATATTTTAGAATATTTCCATGCATATAGTGAAAATTTATTAAATTTAAGAAATAACTCAGTTTTCACTCATTTCAGATAGAAGCTTATGAAACATATACTTCTGTAAACATAGTACCAGGATCAAAAATTGGAACATGAAAATTAATGGTTCCTCTACATACCAATCTACTTTAATTGAGAGATTCACAGATTCTTTGCATATGAGTAGAGCTCTAACTCACGTAGGCTTTAGTTCCTTCATGTCAGTCATTCTTTGCATTTCGTGATAAGAATGGACTTGATTTGCCCTTCTAGGACCAGTGGACAAATTAGAATGTTTTGGTCTTCAGACTGTTCCTTTTTCCTGGGTTTGTTAGTGTTGTAGTCTACTTAAAAATAATAAAGTTAGGTATAATATATATGAAAGATATTTCATATATATATATATATATATGTAAAAGATATTTCAAAATACATATTTTTGAGCAAAAACAATAATACAGTTTTTGTGAGGATTTTCTAAAACTAAAATGGAAAACATTAGAACATAATAGATTTATATTCAAATGTATGCTGATCAGAAATATGCCAATCTGTGCATTCTTAGTTTCACCATTGAACTGAATGCCAAAACTCTTTCCACCACCTATAAATTGGAAGACAAATGTATTTCAGATTATAATATAGGGAGAAAAAAAGTGAATACATATACAGAGTAAACGAGTACATTTTGGTATAGAAATGTCTAAATACAATTTATACTAAATGCTAGGCCTGACAATCAGACAAAGTGAACTATTTAGATGAAGTTTCAAATATTGGTTGAAGTAGGGAAGAAGGGAAGTGCATTCTTTGTAATGCCCATTTTACCTACCCATAGGCAGAAACAGAAATTCCCATTACAGGCAGCGAAGGGAATATGGGTAAGGAATATAAACAGTTTCAACAAAAAAATAACACAGACAAGACCTTTATCCCAGTTCAGGACATTTGTGCACCTAATTCAGTATTGCGTGTTCTGATTGGAAGTTGTTCTTTAAAATCTCTGGGTTATTACCCAGGTCTGTAAACTAACTAAGCCAAAGTTTCCTGGCATAAAGTGGGCTCACACTTCTAATACACATCCTAAAGGGCTATAGGAGGAGAGGTGTTGGGAAGAATGCATGATGTCAATCTGGGTTCCCAACTTCATGAATCGTGGTTTATAAATCTTGACCCGTCTTCCAAACTGAATGGTTTCCAAGCATCAAATGCCACTGTCATTTGATACTTCTTAAACAAAAGCATTAAGCCAAGAGCAGAGAGTGGAAGATCATTTTACAGGACTACAGGTGAAGCTATTTATTAAAGGAAATGAAGGTGAAACTATTTTGTCAGATGAATGATAAAAATGGGGGGAAAATGAAGGGCAAGCCTTATTTGAAAATACACAAGACCCTTTCAGAAAATCACTCAACTCTGGCAGGATGATTTTGAGGATACACATTCCACTATTTTTTCCGTGCAAGACATACAAAAATGAATGTCTTTCCATAAAGCAACAATTGCTTTTAGTCTTGATGGTAGCCCTGGCCACTACTGTACAACTGTTCTGTCCTCTTCAGTGTATTACTTGCTAGTCTTCCAAAAGTATTTTTCTTAAAAAATAATGGATGCTGAACTCTGCAAACTCCAAAATTTCCACCTCTGATACCCAGATCACAGGAGTTGTAGTAGCAATCTTTGGCTGCTTAGTAGTCAGGGTTCTCTGCTATCTTGATGTACTCTACTCCAACAAAAGCTTGCACCAACCACGCACAGAGCTCTTAGAGAAACAAGTTGCATTTAAGCCAGGATTATTTAGGCTGACCTCTCATTGGAGCCATACTTGTTCCCTCCATCTACTTATTACCTAATTTTATTTATAATTATAATAGATTGATTTGATCCTTTCTTCAGTCCTCTTGGTTTGGTGGTTAGTTTTAAATGGAAGGATTTAAAAAGACTGATTTAATGATATTTTCTTAATTAGGGTAGAATTGGTGAAATAAAGCAATCTGAAGTCAGCTGACCTCCTTCTTCCATGCATGATGTTTATGAATGGACATATTCTTACCCAGAATCAATGAAAACCAGAAAAATAACTGCATGCTATATATTTAATACTATGCATTTTGTAGCCCTCAAAAGAAGTGTCCTTCTCAAAAACACACGCAGGCAGCAGACTGATCCTTAAACTCCATGCAGATTTATTGACCAATTCCCTCTCCTAAAGTCCCAAATGCAAACAAATTCTTTTTCTACCTTTTAACATTTTGTTAAAGACATTTAGCTGAGAGCAGTGAAGTGCAAAGCACTGGCTCAAAGTTACCTGCTACTTGGACAGAGGGCCTTCTGGAGCAAAGAGCCTTGGTAGTACAGTGGTCTAAGGCACCCTGTTATTAAGCTGGTTATTAAGACCAGCTGCCTGCAATTACTGCAGGTTCGAATCTCGCCAAGGCTCAAGGTTGACTCAGCCTTCCATCCTTTCTAAGGTAGGTAAATTGAGGACCCAGTTGTGGGGGCAATAAGATGACTTTGTATAAATATACAAAAGGATGAAGGCTATTGCTGAGCATATTGTAAACCGCCCTGAGTCTCCGGAGAAGGGCGGCATATAAATCAATTTTTTTTTAAAAAAAGAAAGATTGTGGTCTACAATCTTAGGAAGCCAAAGCTTGCCTCAAAATATTAAAAAAATAAAATTTTAAAATATTTACAAATTGAGGAGAAATGTATGGTAAATGAAGCATTTTCAAGTTGCTGAAGTACTGTAGACAGTACTTTCCAATGAATGTTGCAAGTTAATATAAGTAGTGTTTGGAAACACTGATCCTATCTGAATAAGGTTTTATTCTTACATATCATTTGTATAGAGTAGCTTAATCCTAGAGAAAAAATCAGTTTAGAGTCCTAAAAATCAATCAAAATTAAAGGTTCTTTTAAGCATTTAATGATTTAGTAATTAACATATTGATGAACTTCTACAATTTGCCTAGGGAAAAGGAACATGACTTAGAAAGGCGGTACGAACTACTGAACAGGGAGCTAAGAGCCATGCTTGCTATTGAAGGTAAGAAATGCTTAAAAGATACATTTTTCTCTGTGGAAAATAATTTTTTAGACATTGTTGAAAACCTGAATCTGACGGACAATATACACAGGAAGCCCGGAAAAATGTAGAACTCTCAATACATCTTATTAAAATGAAATAGAATTCATGAAAATTTGAATGGCATTTATTTTGATACATAGCTCTATTTTTGGTTCTGTACAAAATAAAGAAAAAGTATATTTCATTATTTTTATAAGGTAAACATTTTAGGTAGGCCTCATCTATCTTCAGTAGAAATATGCTTTGTTAAATTAATACTTCATTGGGCAAAAGAACCATCTTTTGGATGTATTTTCTTCATTCTCTATAGCTTCCTAAAAGGCTAGTCACCTCATCTAAATGGAAACTTCTGACTAGATTGACATAGGAATATATTGTACAATTACCTGCTCTTCCTGATATTTTAAATTACTGTACAGTAATCCAGAGGATGATTTATAATAAAAATAAACATCAAGATAGATTAAACTAACTTTACTTTATTAGTTATTTAAATACATCCCAGTTGTTGTTGTTTTTAATAAAGCTGTCATTACTTGTATCTTTCAGCCTCAAATTCTGTCTTTACAGTTCAAAGATGTTTACTTAAAAGTTAATCCTTTGGGCTCTGTAAAATGTGTAAGATGGACCTTTTGTCTAATCAATTTAAATTGATTTTGCTATTCTGTATTGACCTCCTAACCCTTTGACTGTCCATGGTAATTTCGTTCTTCACCTGATAAGGTACCTGATCCATAATAAATCAATTCTAATTAGTTTAGAGGCTTTGCTGAAAGCATGAGTTTGGAGGGGAAAGCCATGAAGTGCCAGGTAGCTTTCTTAATCCACCTCTTTGTATTCTCTTAACCAGAGTTGAAAATAATAGAAATCCTGAATAAAATCTACATCCAGAACATGTTCATCACATTTCAAAAAAGGGACCTGACAGCTATAAATATATTCTAAAAGAAAACTCTGAGCCCAGTAATCTAGAAAGTATTGTTATATAGACCACTGTGCTTTAAGGTTTTAAGTAATTGCAAGAAGTAGCAATGTGTTGGTTTTTTAACAATATTATGAAGCATGCTTTAAGAATAAAACTGAGTCAGAAACCTTATACTGTCTCTCATACTTACACACACCATTATAATTTTCACAGCAATTGTCATGTCTCCTCTTTCAATGGACTTTTTAAATTGGATAGCATTTATCAATCATTTCCTAGCAACTAAATTTTATTTAGAAATTTAGCAATTAATCTCATCTACAAATAGAACAGTTTCAAGCAGTGGAGCAAGAAAAATTACACTTCTGGCTATTACCTTTACTGTGTCCTGGAAATTAAGAATTTAAATCTAGAACAGATCTGAGAGTGGGCACAGGGAGAAAGAAGTCTTGTTGAACAAGCTAAAATCTACTTGTGAGACATTTATTTTTTTAAAAAAGACTCATATAGCCCCCCCCCCATATTGTGAGTGTAACCCAAGGCAATGTATAAAGCAATAAAAACAACAAAAAAGCAAACAAGCTGAATAAAAAAAATCAACAAAAATTAAATCAAAATGAGTGATACTGTTTTAATACATACATTTTACATGGCTGTAGCCTCATTCTACCCTATCACTTGTGGTAACAACCAACTCTTCTTCTGGAAGACAAGGAGCCTAGGTGACCTGCTTGGATCTCTGTGGAAAGGTTATTCCACAAGGCAGGGACAGGTACAGAGAAAGGTGTTCTTATTTATTTTATTTATTTATTTATTATCAGATTTATATACCGCCCTTCTCCCGAAGGACTCAGGGCATTGCACAGCCAAAGTAAAAACATAAATACAAACATTAAAATACAGTTAAAAAGATATATATGTGTTTGGCCCCATAATTAAAAAACAATAACAAACCTATTAAAAACATTTAAAAATGTGTTAAGCCAGCCCGGTTTGCTGAAAAAGAAAGGTCTTCAGAGCACGGCGGAAGGCACCGAGGTTTTGGATTCTTCGTATCTCTGGGGGCAGCTGATTCCAGAGGGCAGGTGCCCCCACAGAAAAGGCCCTCCCCCTAGGGGCCACCAGTCTACATTGCTTGGCCGATGGCACCCTGAGGAGGCCCTCTCTGTGGGAGCACACAGGTCGGTGGGAGGCCATTGGTAGCAGCAGGCGGTCTCAAAGATACCCAGGTCCTATGCCATGGAGCGCTTTAAAGGTGATAACCAACACCTTGAAGCGCACCCGGAAGACCACTGGGAGCCAGTGCAGCTCACGCAGGAGAGGTGTTATGTGGGAGCGTCATGCAGCTCCTGTATCTACCCGCGCGGCCGCATTCTGGACCAGTTGGAGCCTCCGGGTGCTCTTCAAGGGGAGCCCCATGTAGAGAGCACTGCCATAGTCCAGGCGAGAGGTGACGAGGGCATGAATGACTGTACACAGGAATCCCGATCTAGAATCCCGATCCCGTTCTTCCCCAAGTTCCACTAGATGACAACATTTAAGGGAAGGAAGCTGGAACATACAGGGGAGGCAGCTTACAAGCAGCCTTGTCTCATTTAGAGCTTTTAAAGTGATATCCGGCACATTGAATTGCTTCTGAAAAGAAATTGGAAGCCAGTGCAGTTTAGGCAGCAGCAGTGTAGTATAGTATTGGTACGTTCTGAACCAGTTGTAGTTTCTTTTGTGGTTTTCAAGGGCAGCTTCATGTACAGCATATTAGAGTAATCCAAGAGAGAACTGACAGGGCATGAATGACTGTAAGCAAGGCTTCCTGCTCCAGGAACGGCTATAGTTGGTCCACAAAGGTTCCTCAGTCATGGCTGCCTCCTTTAGCAGGAGTTTGTAAATCTAGGCATCAGCTCTGTCCAGGACAGTGCTACCCTTGCAAGAATCAAAGATTACATATCATTGGGTCCAGGAGGTCCAAAAATTCAGAATGACACTGCCTTGGTAGGGTTGAGTTGAAGTTGATTCCTTCCCATCCAAACATCTTTACATCTTCTAGACTCTGGGCCAGCATTTGAGGATTTTGCCCTCAAGTTACCCCACTCTATTTCATTCTGAATATACATACTGGGGAGCCTATCAATACTCTGTTAACACAATTATAATGCGTTGTGACAGTGTTCAAATGGCACAATTTGTTGTTCACTCAACCCACACATAGCAATCCCTTACACTATTGTTTTAAAATTTCTGAGTTGATTGTTCCTTGCACAAGATACAATTGTCATCAACTCATCCTAAAGAATCCTCACAGTATCTCCTTCATATTGTGAAAATATTAACTTCTATTGGTTTTTCACAGTGTTGTACAGGCAAATCTCTGGAGGCAGTTCTCCTGCAACCAGGGATCTTCTATCAGTGGGAACCAGGGGAACAAATCAGAAGCAATGTCTGCCCATCTCCCAATGTCTCCTGGCAATCATGAACATCAAGAAATGGTTCTTGATCTGTTAAGCAACTGACCCAAGATACTTTTTAATTAACACATCCATTATTCGAGAGCACTTTCTCTTTTTTTCTTGCACAAGTGTCTGTCTTACCATTTCTTATTTTTTTCACTCTCTTCTTCCTGGAAAAATGAGCAATTGTGAATAGACAAATGAAAAGTAGACTTGCTTGGCCAAGAAAGCGGTAAATCAAGACAGCAACATCGAAGCACCACTTCAGCGAACCTTCCCTTCAAAAAAAAAAAAAAAAAAAGTAAAGGCTAATAGAAATAAAGTCACCATTGTCCACATGCAATGGACAAGGCAGCTAAAAATGCAATAGCTGAGCAAGAGAAAAATGTTGTTTGCTTTGTTTCTTTCTTTGTGTGATAAGGAAATTAGTTGTATATGCATGGTACTTAACTTCCAGCTGAGTAGAACAGTAGCCAGTTCCTGATCTATTCCAGTCAACAGAGAAAACTGCACAAAACCTTATGGTATGACCAGCATGAGTTATATACTATTTTGTGCCACTGCAGGGTGATAGCGTGGGGATGGGTTAACAAAGTTTGTCAACAGCTTTTCAGGAGGCTCTGGAGGCAAAACCAAAATTTTGGGCTGCACACCCTGCAGCCATGATTTGTAAAGCTCTATTATGTATGGATCCAAGCCTTCAAACAAGCAAAAGTGTAGATTATGATGCTTTGTAAATAGAAAATTTAAATAATCCTATAACCTTATTTCCATCAAAAGTGTTGGCCTTGTGTGTATAGCCATGCTTGCATATTTGCAACCTGTTCTGCAGTGGTTTCAGTATTTCCCAGCTGGAGAGCAAATTTCAGGAGGTGATACTAGGAGATGCTGTTTGACGTCCCATCGTTTGAATATGCAGTTTCACAGAGTTCAGCATTGTCCTATTTAACATGAAATTGCTGAGGAGTTTAATCGCAACATATTTAGAATTGTACAAATAACAGGGATATAAATAGTTTAATATGTATCTATAGAACAACATATAATCTACCTATTTGCAGTTATGTACTTAAATGCAGATGCTGCTCATTCCCATCCTGAGACATTTAACTTTATAAAAGATTTTGTCAGATTTGCTTTCAAGTTGTGTATTGCTCCAAAGCTCTCATTATCAAGCTGTGGAGCAGACGCTTTTCAGAGTTGCACTTAGTTCCTACGCACTTCACCTTTAAGAAAGGGATCCACAACCTGACCTTTTAACTTGTAGTCTTACTAGTAATGTAATAGCTTTGTAGAAATCTTACCTTTTGGAACAGATTAAAATTACACTACATGAGTAAGAAGGGCTGGATCTCCAAATGAGTTGCCAGGTTGTTCATATGTGCTTTCATGAAACATGAAGGAGGTCCATAATTACTGCAGAATCAAATTGTCTCATTGACAGTACCTGAGGATTGAGAATCTTCATGCATGCATGGTCCTTTTGGTTCAAATTTAATGCCTTCTTGAAAAAGATTATGTTTCTGTTTTGCACACCCTAGGGGAGAGGTGGAGGCATAGTTTTCCATCCAAGAAATGGATCTTCTTTAGAATGTTCTACATTTATTCTTGGCTTCAAGTTTGAAATGTGTGCACTTCTTAAAGGATTTGTGCATAGGTTCACTATTTTTGTAGTTATGATTTATATGATAAGCTTTTTATATTTAAAATCAATAGGTAATCCTGTGGAGGAGCTTATCCTCTAAAACCCCATTTGTAAATCTATTTAAGTTTTGTTACATAGTTCTGGCCACAGTACTCCATAGATTAGCTTCAGCAGTAGAATGCTACCAAATGGATGATGATGATGATGATGATGATGATGATGATGATGATGGAAACTCTTTCAGGATTGTGAGTTGACTGGTATTAAAGCTAAGACTTTAATTACAGTCACTCAATATGCTCCTTACAAACTCATGTTAATTTTCATCAAAACTGTCTTATTTTATAGTGACAACCTTGAAAGTTTTGTTTTTTATTTTTTAATTGTAAAACATAAATCATTTTCATTCTGATGGGGTTTTTTTCCAGAATGCTTATCATGGTCTTTTTATAAAAATACAAAGATATAAACATCAGTAAAACAAATGCATCTCTATGCTGTAATTGTCATGAATGTATATTAAACAATAAAGTTCCTTAAAAATTGGTTGATGAGTCTAGATAGGCAACCATTTATAGTACAAAGGAATAGAATGAAAGGTTTGTAATTCTTGTTAATACTGCAGTCAATCCTGTGAGGGAGATGGCCCTTTCCCTAGTAGGTAGGTAGGTGGGTGGGTGGGTGGATGGATGGATGGATGGATGGATGATAGACAGACAGACAATGATAAATAATTGTGTGTGTGAGAGAGGGAGGGAGGGAGGGAGGGAGGGAGGGAGAGGGAGGGAGGGAGAAGGAGAGGAGAGCACACTCAAAGGGCTATAGCCATATCAGGAATAAAAATAATGATACTCAGAACCCAAAAGGTTAAAGAAACACAAATTGTTTGGGTTGCAGCCCTTCACCCATTTACTTGGGAGTAAATCTGATTGGATTTATTTGGGACATAAGATTCCACATGTATAGAATTGCAGTGTTAATCCTAACAAACATTTTGGCTTTTTACCCCCTTTAAACAACTTACATTTGTAAGATATAACCAATTATCTTTAATTTCAAAGGCAGTTTTCTTTGTGACATGGGAGGGAATTTAGCTGCTGTTTTGAAGCAACATATTTTTGTATATATTTTTAAGAATGTATCTTGGCCAATAGTGCCAAATTTGCTGTTGTCAGAAGAGAGAGAAAGAGGGGGGAATACCTGTACCTGAAGTGAGTTCACCTGAAACTAGTAGAACTTTTTTCTATATAATTGCAATGAGGAGTAACTGAGGTATGTACAAAGAAGGTTCAGGTGATTGCTTAAGCAGGCTGTTCAAAAATGTTTTCATCTAAGACTGCAGGACGTATAATTTTGGATATCTAATTATTATCCCACAGTGTGATCAGCAGAATTATTATGTCTTATTATTTACTTTGATCAGAATATTTCACACTGTTTACTTCTGAATGTAAATAAAATTATATTTAGTATCTTAATGCAACTGTGGTACTTATCCAATAAAGAAAGCTTTGCTTAAATTGGTTTTACATAGAAAACGAATTCCGGAAATCTGTGGTTTCATTTCAAAGAACATTTTTTGAACAATAAAAGAGTTTGGATATTCTTTCAGTCTAGAGATAGTAGTTGTTCCAGCTTTACTTTCCAGTTTCGAATGTAGGAATTGAAATGTATTATGTATGGAGGTTATTTTTCTTCCATTCAATGGTGTCCAGTTCTCAAAGATTACCTGGACAAGTCCCTTCAATTGTCTTAGCAATTTTTCAGAAATGGTTTGCTATTGCTTTCTCCAAGGGCTGAGAGAGAGCAACTGGCCCAAGGTCACCCAGCTGACTTTGTGCCTAAGGTGGGACTAGAACTCACAGTCTCCCAATTACTAGCCTGATCCCTGAAACGCTATTCCAAACCTTTATAGGTTAGAAACATGTTTTTCTTAAATTAAAATGCAGGTACTGGCTATTGCTGAATAATAGGAAAATTTGTAATTTTTAATGGGTAAAATTGTGTTGGTTCCCCTTCTTCTCAGTGAGATATCTAAATAAAATAGTTATTGTCTGCTTCTCTGCATGACCATGCATTCTCCTTATGTCTATTAGTATGCATATACTAATTATGCATATTGGGAAAGCAATTTAAAGACTGGTCCACACATTCCTGGGTTTTTATTGCCATTCTAAGCTTTATTGGATGAATCTGCATCTAATTTTTAATTTGTAAATACAAAACCAAATTCACTCTGGCACCACTTGCTTTCATAAAGCTTCTGAACAGTTTTCTGCCTTGAATAAATTTTGCTTTGCAGGGGGGGTCAGGGGGATTTGAACCAACACATTCTTGTGTGGTTTGTGAAGATTCACATGGTAACCATTGCGGTGCATTGTTAGATTTATCTGAATAAGCACCAGCCATGTGAGGCTTAACATGATTGCTCAGGGCAATGGACAGGGAAGAGAGAAATCCAAAAGACTTCTAGTGCCTTTCCTCTGCTTTTTGGGGAAAATTGATAGAGGACACCACATGAGTCAGTAGCTGTGGAGGGTTTTCTGTGTTGTTGTTATTGTTGATTTTAAAAAAGGTGGGTGTCCTGTTTCCTCCTGCTTCTCATTTGTTCCTCTATCTCTCTCATCATCTCCTTCTCTTCATTGTTTACCTTCCTAATGAGGGAGGCGGGACAGGGTGGTAGTTGAGTGACAGGTACAGGCCCTTGCTGTCTGGCCTCTAGAGCAGTTTGTTTGGTGTGCTCCAGTGTTAAAACTGCCCTTTTTAATGAAACATTGATACTGTTTGTCTTATAAGAAGAGACATCAGCAAAGAGACCTGACTAAATATGATAGGATCTCATTCCTTCTATGACCTCTTGAAATTAAAAAATAAAGCAAACCTTAACAATGGAAGAAAAAGATATAAATTCTTACATATACAAGTTGTCTTCTTATGGCTATTAACAAATCTGGAAATTATGTGAATTTAAGATTCAGTTTATTTAAAAAAAAAAAACCCTATCAAATAATCTGTATTGTTATGGGGAAAAATTGAGTAATATTATTTAGTAGATGTACTTTGATTTCATTGGAGAATCAACTAATTGTTGATCAACTTAATTGTTGATTCTCGTTTTAAAGTTATTCTGAGGTGCCCAGTGCCCAGTCTGAGGTATTTTCAACTGCTAAGATATAGCAAAAGGGAAAAAAGGAAAATTATAATCAATTTGTAACAGAAAGGAAATTGCATTGTCGTAAAGTTTTATTGTATGTTGTTTTGCAGTTTTCAATCTGTATCTTTTTCTGGTTCAGAAACAGAATCTCTGTAATATACTGCAAGGGGGTAGAAGTTATTTAGGAATATCTGTAATAAAAATGAGATCATAAACATTAATAATAATGCAATCTTTTGCGTATCTTCTCTTAAATATGATTTGTTGAGTAAAACATTTTTTCCCAAATACATGAATATAGGAAAACCACAACCCCCCAAACCACAAACCCCACAACTTCTTTCATAAATGTTTATGTTATTGACTAGTATTACTCAAAAAATTCCATAGTTTTTTTTAATAATGCTGAAAAAATATTGAATTTGATTTTATCAAACAGTATCTGCAAAAGTCAAATTAGATTTCTTGTAGTTACATAGATCCATAGGAAAATGAAATAACCCCTTATGGGTCTCTACAAAGGACGTGGCTCTATTATAGAAACCAGAGCAGTGACACTGATTTGTTTAGATCATATGTATATTAAGCTCTCAAAGAACACATTTCTGAATTTCTTCTCTTTTCAGACTGGCAAAAGACTGAAGCTCAGAAGAGGCGGGAGCAACTTTTGCTAGATGAACTTGTTATTCTTGTTAATAAACGTGATGCACTGGTCAGAGATTTAGATGCCCAAGAAAAACAGTACGTTTCATATTTTTGATGAACTCCAGGAATAAAATCAAGTTTTCCTTGCACTGTATTTAGGTTTTATGTTCAAGAAAAAAACCTTCAGGAGAAGGTCAGTCATCCGGTATTGAAGCAATTAAATCTCCTTAGGTCCTGCATTTTGGTAAAGTGATCTGCTACTACTTCTTACCTATGGAAACAGATGGTGTAACCTGGTCCCTGAAGTGGCTGCTCCCTAAACTCCTTATCTGTGCATGACTCCTACATTGAAATGTAAAGCAGAATTTTGTTAGGAAAACTACTGACAATTGTATTTGATTTTTATAGGGCTGAAGAAGAAGATGAACATTTGGAAAGGACACTTGAACAAAACAAAGGAAAAATGGCCAAGAAAGAAGAGAAATGTATCCTTCAATGACTAGCTTTCATGGTCCAAGATACTGTCACTTTTTGTAACTTCAGCCTTCTTACATTTTGGATATATGCCAACAACAAGACTAGAAAAACTAAATCACAAAAAGACAGACTTTTCCATTTGGCCAGATCAGGTTTATCTTAAATTGATTTCTGATTCTCTTCCCCCTTTTCATTCAAGCAACAGGGTTTCAGAATTAGCTTTCCACCAGGATTTTTTAATGGGTTTAATTATCTTAAATAAGTTTGCTCCCAAATGTTTAAGAAGCCATCTAGTTGTGTAAGAAGGGAGAAAACCTTAGCATTATGTTTTTAGTTAAAAAAAACTTGCAAATACATTGTTCTATGTAGTCACATAGCAGAGAAAGAAGGAAACATATGCTCAATTGTTTCCTCTAGTTCTGCCATATGTAATATTAAATATGCTATCAACCATTTTATTGTTAGATCATACTTATACCATTTCTTTCAATGTGCTATATTTACATGCGTTTTTCAGCTGCAGTTTTACACTTTCATTGTAAGTACAATTATGAAATTTAAGGCTTTCTTATGTGCTCAGAGAGCAGTTCTTTTTAACCAATCTTTCAAGAGTCTTGCAACTTAAAAAAAAGTGATTGTAAAAATAAGGCTAACTGAAGTATGATCAGTTTACAGAAAATTCTTCTTTTGAGGCTACCCCATTTTTATTAATTATTTATTTACCCATTAGTTTAGTTCCCTTTTCTTGATCTTGTGCTGGACCTCTGCACTCTGGTTCTACAGTGCTGTTAATATTTATTCTGTATCCATCAGGGGTCTGTCTTGCCATTGTTTGCAAAATCTTGCAAGTAAATATATCCTTCTCTAGCATCATGCTCATTTTTGTGGAAATGGTTATGTTTATTTATTACAATACCAAGTTATGTATAAATTTTCAATAAAAGCTGGATCTTTCTTACCATAGCTGGGCTGGGCTGCTTTTTTATACATTTCAAATCCAGGTATTTCTCTAGAACCTTATGGTGCTGTAATTGTCAGCCCAAAACACAAAAAACACTTCCCCCCATCTTTTCCAGTTTGAGAAATTGGAACTAATTGGGAGAGCATTAATCTCTTTTTTTGTTTGTAGTCATTACATGTGACTTATTTATTGTTTAATATTTAGAATTATTTTACAAATGTGTTACACAAAGATTGGGCACTCATCGGTCCCTGTAAGTTTATGTAAATTACAATAATTTGTTAATTTGTTCAGCTACAATAATTTGCTTTTATTCGTTGAAAATAAATACAGCTGAATTCTGTGAAGCAAACTGCTTAGAAATTGCTGATGTGCTATATGTGTATCCAAAGTTCGTTTTTTTAAAAAAAAAAATCAGCATATTCCACATATCTCTATCAACAAATAAGCTGTATTGAGCACAGGGCTTTCTTCCAGATAAATCTGTATAGGATTTCAGCCTAAGCGACTTCTTATTTTTACAATTAAACCTGTAGCAGAGGATCTGGCATTGATATACTCTGCCCTGTTCAACAAGTCTGAAGGATATTTAAAAGCAGTGCCAAGACAAGTAATTCATTCTTCTGAATGTGAGTTGAATTGATTTAACCAGAAATCGGATCAGATGAGTTTTATTCTGACAAGATTTAAATTAAAGGGTTATTTGCAGTGGGAAAAGTTTGGAGCAGAAACAAATGTGGATCTTGTTTTACTCCTGTCTGGACACAGCTCAGATCATTTTGCTGGTTGAGTGGATGTAAAACTCACCAGAAAACTTGGGGGGAGGGGGGGATGCAGAAAGAGAGAGAGACAGAGAGAGATTCACAATCCAGATCAGGGGTTTATATGGGAAGGGAGGGGGGAACAAAAAGCGTTGCAAGGAGAATCCCCGATATGTTACAGAATCCACATCGTGAATAATCCGGTTAAAATGATAACAAGCGCCAGTGTAAATACGAGGGAACTGCGCCTTGTGCCTTTGGATGTATTCATAATGGGAATCGCTTTCTGCCGGGCGTTCATATGCTAAATGAATTAAACCTCTTATCTTCGTCGATGACTGGATGAAATTCAGGACAGAATCTCTCTCTCTCTCTTCTCCCTTCTACCCTCCCTCTCTTCTTTTTCTCCTCCCCCTTTTTTAAGTCTCCCCCCCCCCGTACGCGCCCCCCCCCCCCCTTTTTTCCCCCCCCCCCCCCCCCCCCCCTTCCCCCCCCCCCCCCCCCACAAAGGCGACAAATTCCACCGCCTCGGTCTGCCTTTAAAAGCGGCGTTTAATTTGGGCCGAGGAGGAAGAGAGAGACGGGCAAGCGGCGGACCGCGTTACTCTTTGTTATGAGAAGCTCGCTTAATTCGCTTTGCCGGTTCCTGAGAGCCAGATTAGAATTTATTAATTTGCTGTTTAGCGTGGCGTCTCCCTCCCCCTCCGCTGCCTCTCCCGCCCGGCGCTTCAGCCAGGGGGAGCTCCGCGCGGCTCCGGGCCCCCAGCGAAAGCCGACGGCAGGCCAGGCCCGGAGCTTCCAGACGGCTAGGCGAGCTTCTTCGCCTCACCTCCAGCGCCCCGCAATTCCCGCGGAAAACTCTCTCCCCACCCCCGGCACTAGCGGGGCTCGCACGCCTCTCGGCGACTGGGAAAGTGGGCAGCTTGAAGGGACGGGTTGCCGCCGCCTTCCCGCTGAGGGGGGCGGGAGGGGGGAGGAGAGGCGACCCCACTCTGGAGTAAATTGGTCGCGAACGGCCGGTCGGGCTGAGGCGCTGCCACGCTTGGACTCGCTGCCCAAAGGTGGCACCGGCCAGGGCGGCTCGCCCGGCTGCGCCATTGGCTGGAGTTCTGTTTGGGAGAGGGGGGCCGGCGCTCTCTCGCCCTCTCTCCCGCCCCCCCCCCCAGTCTCCCCGGGAGCGAAAGCTTCTTCCCTCGAGGGGAGAGAAAGGGCGGAGTGAGCAGAGACGGGCGTTGTTGTTTTACTGAGCCTTTCCTCCCGGCCTCGGCCGATGGGGCTGGGAGGACCAGGGCAGTTGTCTCGCCTGGGGCCAACACAGTGGTTGCGCTGGCAGACTTTCGAAACAAAAGGGAGCTTGGGTCAAGGCAAAGGACAGGCCGTCTTCGAAAATAACCCCCACGGGAATGGGGAAGCCGTCGGAAGGAATTGCCTTGGTGCGCTTTTAAGAGGTCCAGGCATTCTGCTGCAACTTTACTGTCCGGTCCCAGAAGGTGCTTTTTTCAAGAGGCAACTGGACTTCCTTTGTTTTTCTTTGAAGACGTTTCGCTTCTCATCCTAGAAGCTTCTTCAGCTGAGAGGCCAAACGTCTCTCAAAGAAAAACAAAGGAAGTCCAGTTGCCTCTTGAAAAAAGCACCTTTGGGACAACCATGACCTGGAGGACTGAGAAGCTCCATAGACATTTACTTTCCGGTAACTTCAGTGGCCGCCGCTTCTGGTCCCTGAAGGGATCCGGCTTCCCTTGATTCAATGAGCGGGCATCTGTTACGGAGTTTCCAGTAGCCTTGCCCGAAAAAGTGAACGCCGTAGATTTTAGTCGAACTGCGCGGGGAATCGGGCTATTAAATTGGACAGAAAATGGGGTGGGTGGTTTGTGTTTCTTGGCCTTCCTACTACGGATTCAAACGACTCCACCAGTAACAGCCCTCCCCTGCCCCAAAATAGAAGGGGATCTGTCTCGCGAAGCTCCTCGTCCAGCTTTGAAGGGGATTATTTCCCTTTGTAATCCTCTTCCCCCCCCCCTCCCAGTAATTACCGAGGGAAAAAACTTCTTTGTTTCGGGGGAAAAAAACTTTGCTGGGAGGGGACGCCTTAGGTGTCCCCACACACACACACACACGGCCTCCTTCCAGGCACTGCAGCTGCACCCAGGCGCTTCTAACGACACAAAGACAGACGCAACCAGCGGGCGAGGCAAAGGGACGGAGTTTGGGGAACGGCCACAGTCAAAGCGGGCTAATCTGGGAGGCGATGGCGATGGCGGAGGGAGGGAGAGGGAGCCGGCCAGCTTCGGTTCCTGGCCATTTGGAGCCCGAGGCAGTTTTTCCCCCGTTGGCCCGACCACCTCCTACTCTCGCACAGGCCACTTGCTTTCTCCTTCCACCACCCTTCCCTCCTCGGCCCATCAGCAGCGCCTAGAGAAAAAGAAGGGCTGCCTGCCCTGCTGTGGCTTACCTTCCTTCCCTTCCCCGGGCCTGCCTAGCCAGAAGCCCCGAGGGCGGCCAGGGCCAGGAGTGGGAGCCCGTTGATTCCAAACTGCGGGCGGTCTTTTCTGGAGATGCCCTTCCCAAAGGGATCCTTCGAGAAGCGGGGAAGCTGCCCGTTTAGGCCCGGCTTGCTGGGAACCCGGGCCAGGTTAAGAGGCGGGAGGCCAATGCCCTCTCGGGATGGACTTCCTCTTCCAGGGGCTGCCACTTGGGCAGGGAGACACACGTCCTCGTCGCCTTCCCGCACAGGCTCAACTTTTCTTGTGCTTGCTCTCTGGCTTCTCGCCTCCTTTCTGGCTCTGCTTGCTCGTGCCCCCCTCTGCTGCCCTTAATCCAGGGGTTTTATGGGCTGAGCATTAAGGAAATTCGCCCGCAATTTGGGATTAGACAAATACTCTTATTACAGGGGGAGAAAAAACACACACACATAGAAAGAGGGAGAGAGAGAGAGAATGAGTAAATCTTAGGGCTTTAGTGCTACTTGATACTCTGAGCTTTTCCCTCGACTTGGTCGTCTCGTTGGAAGTCTCAGACTTCCAGCGGCTGCCAGGCTCATTTCCGAAGGCCCGAGTAACGCTCCCCTGTGCCATTCGCCTTTCCTCTCCATCCCCTGTTTCCCCTCCACAAGAGAGAAAGGGGTTATGCCAGCGACGGATAGGTAGCTATAAAGTGTTGCCGTGGAAGATGACCTAATCCAGACCTCTAATCTTAAATGGGAGTATAGCGGTGCGGGGTGGGGATGGGGGTGCTATTCTGTTCTGAGGATAGGGCTGCAGAAGAAAAGGCCTTCCTTCTCAAAGCTCGGGTCCATTCCCCCACCCCACCCCCGCCCGCGAAGAATGGTCTCCGAAATGGACAATGTCTCAAGCGCCTAAGGGCACTTAGCTCTGCTTAGACTTTGCAAGGTAGTGGCCCCAGAGAGACCCCCTTTGCTGCCCCATCTTTCTCTCTGTCTCTTGTCTTTCTCTCTTTTTGTGAATGGGCTGCGGCGGCTTTGTTCCGCGGAGAAGTGCCCGTGTCGCTGACTTTTGTGGGCAATAGAAGGATCTTGTAAACCTCTTTTCTCCTCTTCTCCCTCTCCTTCTCTCTCTTCCCTCCGTTTGATTAAATGTCCCCTCAACGAAAAAAATGTAATTTGGCCGAGCTGGCGGTCGCTCCCTTTGAACATTAGCTCGCTTTCAGCTCCAACTTCAATTAGAAGGAGTTGATTTTGAGAGATCAACAAAAGAACCTCACCAAAGCCTTATTAAAGGTCCTAAGAAGATCTCCCGGATCCTTTGAGAAGCAGTTAAAGAAACAGTGTGCTTCCCTCCTACGCTGTTACCGTATTTCATTGGGGCTCCAAAGGAAAGTGTCTCTCCAGGAAAAAAAAGAGAATTCCACTTTGATGGTGCGGCCACTAAGTCCCTTCCCGAAGTCCTTTTATTCATTCGGTTAGCTCGGTTAGCAACCAGTTGATTCAGAAAAATCGCGATGGTGATTTTCATTTTGCTCTTTATGCGTTAAGAAGTTTTCCTTTTCTGTTAAAACTTTATATGTAAAAAAAAGAATTATCTGTAAAGGATTAGTGTTTATTAATATTTATGAGTCTGATACCCTCAATATGGCATGCACTGAGTGTGTTGTACATGTGTGAGTGTCTGAGAGAGACAGAAAGGAGAGAGCAATTGTGTGTGTGTGTATCTGTAGGGAAGTAATAAACTCTTCAGTGGAAGATGTTGTAAAAAGAGTATACAAAATGTCAACATATTGAGTGTGTGTGTGTGTGTGTGTATCTATATGTATATATGTATATAAATTGAACTCTGGTGAATAAATGTATAAACAATATTTATGACTACATAGAGCAGAAGAAACCATCACAATCCTCTACCTATTTTCCCCGGGATTAGACCCTATTGAAGTCAGTGGGACCTCTTTATGAACACGAATAGGACTGCTGTATATATCTTTCATGAATGTTGGGGTAATGTTCACCAGCAAAATAATGTTTTCTTTATTTCGTTGGAACTTACTGTGCAATAAAATTTCATATTAGAGAAGATTTTTGAAATGGTGCTTGATTAAATAAGTATTCACAAGAATGGTCCTTAGCAAACTTCTTAGAGGGACGGTACCTAGTCGCATATTCCGTTAGACATACCGGCATACACTATTTTAACTGCAGGTATATAGCAAGGAAGGCAATGTTATCTAGACAATGGCAAATATCTATATAGGATCAATAACTAAGGTTGAAAAATGCTAAATTCTTGTTCGCTTGCAAATCTTACTCAAAGTATCCAAGTTAGCCTATCCGTGCTACACTTTTCTGTTTGAAAGAAAACAGGTGAATCCCTTGAAATGCACGCATTAGGGATCCTTGTATTCCTGTTCTAAATACAAAGACCATTTGGTAACTTTCCTGCTCTCAAAACCCGTTCTTTGCCAGCCATTAAATAGAAGATCTTTTAAAAAGTTCGTTTTTTAAAAAATTGCTTGGCAGGTAGAACGTCTTTTTTACCCCAAACAAAAGCGCCTTCTTCAGTCCTATGTTACTCAAAAGGTAAGCCCCACTGAACTCGGTGTAGACAGGATTAGATTTACTTTTAAAAGTAACTTTGCTGAAACGAATTGGGTTTACAAACCAGGGAAGAGAGAGACCCTGAACGATCCAAATAGCCCAGCTTAGATGGGGCAAACTTTCTTTTGTTGAGCCGTGCCTTAGAAAGAAACAGCCGCCACCACTGCTCGGAGAGGAGGCCACGATTTATGGCGAGGAAGCGACCCTTTGTGAATCGCCGGGGAGGAAGAGCGTCATCTACCACCACCGCTCACAGACGGAGGGTTACGCCCCACGTGGTGGTCGCTCCGGGGAGAGCTGGCCCCAAGAGTGTTGCGGGGATGGGTGGGGTGGAAGAGCGGGATGAGGTGGAGGGGCGGGGAGGGGGCGCTTTGGGCTTTGACCGCGGCCCGCAGGCGCCCGGACGGGACGCGCGGAGCGCGTTTATACGACGGCGAAGGCAAGAGGCGAAGGCCAGGCCGGTTTCCAAAGTCAGGCTGGGATTCAAGGAGTGGGGGGGGGGGAATCCCCTGTCAGGCACGAGGACACCTCTCGCGCTTTTCTCCCGCAGGTCGAGGGAGGGAAAGGAGCGGCGGCGTCTCGCTCGCGAGGGCAGCCCGAGCTCGAGCGGGGAGGCGCGCGCGCGCGCGCGATATTAAAAAAAAGCCACCCCCGGCTTCTGCTGGCTATCCGGCCGGCCGCCCTCCGTGGGGCCTCCGGGACCCGCAGCAGGGGCGGAAAGGGTGTCCATCCTCCCAGGGGAGCCGCTGGAGCGGGGGGCCGCGGCTGCCGCTGAGGCAACTCCAGCCGCCTGCCCTGAGGGAGCTGCTGGGAAGAGTTGGCGGCTGAGGCTGCTGCGCGCGCGGCTGGGACTGGGGTGGAGTGGGGGATGGGGACGGGCCGTGGTAGCATTCATCCCGCGCTGCTATTGCCCGGGCGGCTGTCACTCAGAGGCAGGGAGCTTAGCGATTGGCGCCAGGCTTGGTTACGCATTTGCCTTGCGCTCACATACAAGGGTAGGGCAGTAGAAAGGTGATCAATCTTCATCAGGCTACATTTCCAATCACCTAAACAAGCGAGCGAGACAGCTACCGCGACAAGGTAAAAAAGGCGCTTGATTTATTTCACTTCCCCCCTGCAGGTGAGCTCTCACTTTCCCTTCCTTTCCCGGGCCGTCCCGACACCGCACTCGAGCCGAGAAGCCCGTCCCCGCTTCCCTCTCGCCCTCCGCCCCCGCTTCCCAGTTCATCTGGAGCTTTAGGTCCGCGCAAAGGATTTCTGCGGACTAGGAGACTTTTCGCCGCAAAGTATTCGAGAACCCTCAAGTTTTCCTTTCTGTTCTGTTCTTTGCTTTGCTTTTCTCCTGCCGCCGGCTTGGCGCAGCGACGCCTGGGCTGAGAGGAGGCGGGGAGGGGGAAGTGGAGGTGGAAAGCAACCCGCACGAAAACTTTCCCTCCTAACTTCTCTTGTCCTTCGCTTTGCAGCTCTGCCTGGGAAAGGGGCCTTGGTGGTGCCGAGGGGTATTTCCAACCCCCTGCTCGCCCACCCGCCCCGCCGCTGCTCTCCCGCCCCTCACTTCTAAACGGGGAATGCTCAGCAGGTAAGCAAGAGAGGAGCCGCCTGGCTTTCGGCAGCTGCCTTCTTTCTCCCTTCGGCCCTTCCTTGCCAGGCTCGTGGCGCGCGCCTTCTGATGCCCTTCTCCCACCCAGCCCCCCCCCAGCCCGCCGCCGCCTGCGCGCCTTCTCCGCGCAAAGGACGAGTTCTGTCGGAGGGGCCGGGGATCCGCGCGCCCCTCCTTCCTCGGGAGGAACAGAGCTGGCCGCCTCCCGAGGGAAGAACCCCAAGCTCTGGGGTCCTCTGCCCGTCCGTGCCCTCTCCGCCACCACCCCCTCTGCACGCCACCGACGGCGTTTCGCCGTCGCTTTTCCGGCCCCTCGCTTCACGGAGGCACCTGGAAGGCGGCCAACCGCGGCCCCCCGAAGGGAGAGGTCGGAGTGGTTTTACTCCTGGCTCTGAAGGCGAATGGCTTTGCTTGGCTGGGTCTCTCTTGGCCCCCGGAGACCCTTGGCCGGCTCTTCCGGGCTGGCGCCTTTCACCGATGCTTACCGTGGCCAGCGAATCTCGAGCTATTTGGAGACACTTTGTTCTTTCCCACTGTTTGGCACTTCTCCTGCATTTCTCCATTGAGCAACGGCCGGGTGTCACCCAACACAACAATAATCGACGGCCAAGGAAGTGGGGAGAAAAGAAGAGTCCAATCCTGATCACCACCAGAGCACTGACGGGAGTGGGATCTTGGAGAGATGGGATGGGGCTGAGATCCAAGGAAAGAGGCTTGGAGCGGGCGATTGCCAGTCCGCTTCTTCCTCGCTTGAGATTGTCGGGCCCCTTGTCCTCTCTCCTCAAGCAAGGAGATTCAGGCTGCAGCCTTGTGCGCAATCCGCCGGGGACAAGTCCCCCTGAACTTGACTCTTGGAGATGCGAACTCAGCCCTTAACTTGCGTGGCCCACTTGCCGTCTTGCCCAGGCCTACCCAGGGCTTCATTGACTTTTTTGTTCAAGATGCCAGCAGGATTTAATCGTGGACTTCTTAGGCCAACCACAGCTTATCTATTCTTTTGCACCTAAAGAGAAGCCTGCTTGATAGGAGTAAATGTGGAAGGAATTGTTAAGGAATAAATGAAGACATCTTAAGTGTTCAGAGAGATACAAGCTCCTTTGAAAGTAAATTTGCAGATAAGTATGGAGAAAGGCTCCAAAACAAAACAGAAAATCAATTTTCCCCCTTGCTTGGAGCCCACAGCCCAATTTGAATAATGTCTCCTGACAAAGAAATCCCCCCTGGTCTTAAAAAGGAATGACTGTCGAGTAAAGTATACCTGTGCTTCAGCAACCTTACTTATCCTATGCTGCTTAAGTAAACCAGATGGGCCGGTTTTGAACTCTTAATTGTGAGCACAGAGAGAGAGAGAGAGAGAGGTTAAAAAAAACTTACCTCACAAATCCAGGCAGAACTCTAAGTGAAATCTCAACTTGGAGAGAGCTGCAACAGGTTAGCCAGTCCTAGGAATATGGGTTGTTGTTGTTTTTAATGAATTTGGGATACTTTAACTTAATAGTCTAGCATCAATTAATTAATATTAGTTCAAAACCCACTTTGCACCTCCTTTTTTCCTTTCTTATTCATTCTTGGTGTGAATCTTTGTGTGAAAATGCATACCTTATTAGTAGCAGCCAGGCCTGCTACCTATATAAAGTTTTTGGCCATGGATTAATTGAGATTAATTCTGCCACCAACTGTGCTTTCTGAATATGGGTTTTTATGTACCTGCTTGGTTGATCTGATGTTTGTTCTATTCGGACATTTACTTTATTGAAACTACTTAGAAAAGAAAAGCTTCTGGATCAGAACATGAGAATTTAACCTAAAATTTACTTTCTGTTTTGGAATGCTAGCCCACCAAGATCCGCAAATCTGTTCTGTAAGTCTTGGAAGTAAATCATATCCAGGAATTTTTTAAAAAACTTGAAGGTTTATATAGTTAAAACTGAATAGCCACACAACTACGGGCAAGTAAACGCACCATGTTCTTTATTTGGAAGTCAGGATCATTAGTTTAACTTTAGCTTTATTTCTAAATGTGCCTAGTGTTGAGAGTGTACCTTCACTCTTCCCCACCTCCCCCCTATACTCCTAGAAATAAATTCTTGAACATGATGTGAGGGAATGGTAAACTTTTAGTGTTGCAGACTCCTCTGCCGGCCCCGCCGTTCCTTCTCCTGTTGTTGCAGTCTTTTGGAATACGGAATTCAAAGCTGCCCCCCCTCCCTGCCAAAGCTGTCTTTTTTTTTAGATCATTAGCTATTTCTAATTAATGTGTCTGTTTCTGCTCTCTTTTAAATTAATTATAGTTCCCTCCTTTTGTTATCTCGTTTTGATTTCTAATCCAATTATCTTTTTAAATAATTGCTTTATCGCTCTCATCATTGATATGGTACCCCCTCACAGCCCCTTGGCGATTGTATGGTAATGTGGCTGTAGATTTTTTTTACTCCACCCTACTCCACTTCACTCTTTGCCACTTTCCAGTTTTCCTTCGGGGAGGAATTATCCGCCATGTTTGGAGAGTTTCTGTGTTAAAGGAGAAACCTTTAAGTAAGACAGAAAGAGAAGTAAAAACAGAAACTTTATTGTACTTGATATGGAAATTAAGTTGCCTTTTAATATTAAGATCCACATAGCTATATATAAAACTTATTGCATTCTTTTTACTGATATGTACAAAAAACTGTTTTGTTGAGCATTTAACTTTGCACTACCTGCGAATTCTATTAAAAAATTTCTATCATGTTATCAATTCACTATATGTTAATTTTGTTGTTTTTCTTCTAGAGTGCTGTGAAAAATTCTGCTGCTCTGTGGGATTCCTTTCAGTTGCTGGTTGGATGAATATTTAAAAAAGAATAAAACATATACACGCACTGTTTGAAAAACTGGTAAATAAACAAATAGATAAGTGTGTGGATAAATTGGAAAAATATTTCCAGCTTTTAGCATGATGTCTTACCTCAAACAGCCCCCCTATGGCATGAATGGGCTGGGGCTAGCAGGACCGGCAATGGATCTTCTACACCCTTCAGTGGGGTATCCAGGTGAGCCCCCTCCCCCCTTCCATCCCCTCTTCTCCACTGAGTAGACACACTCAGGTCATTCCTTGCAGAGTTTGAAAAAAATAAACCTGCCAATTCTTCTGTCTTAACCTACAAATTACATGGAAAGCAAATAGGCATTAAGAAGGGAATTCTCCCTTCCTGCTCTTCCATTCTTGGAAACTGCACTAATGTTTGAGTTCAGTAATTGAGTGTTTCTTAACAATCTTTGAGTGCTTTTGCTGAAAATAAGTCTAACTATTTAAAAAAAATGGAGAGCACTTTACTAAAACATTAATCTAAATTTTCATAATGGAGGGGATTTCATATTCCTGATTTCTACCTTGTTTTGCTTTTACATTCAGGTAAATAACTAAATATACCAAATGCGGAACAAGTATGTGGTGGTTTAAAAAGAACAGACTCAAGGCAGTGGGGCCCTTTGATAAACGGGTTGATTTTCCAAAGTTAGTTGAAAGTGAAGACCCAGGGTAAAGAAAGTGACGCTCAGAAGGTAGGAAAGCAGATGGAGGGCCGTCCCAGTGTCAAAATCCCCTAATCAAAAACTTGCCCTGAAGGAAAGTTTTACAATTGAGAGGGTCTGCAGCCAATTCACATTCCCCCCCCCACTTCTTCCATTAGCTCGGTGGCCAAGAAATCAGCACAGGTTTTGCAATCGTGTATAGTCTGATGACAAATCAGGTTAGTGCTAACTAATTCAAGGGAATGCTTCATATCCCTATGATTGTGAAAGGTATAAAGTGCCAACATCCTGACTTGTAAGGCGAGGAGCTCGCTAGATCAGTAGTAAACTGGACTGGTTTCGCTAGCATTTATTTCCGTCTGCAGCGTTGTAACCTGAGCCTAAAATGCTCGTAGTTAGCCCAGTTAAATTACGTACGCTTACTTAATTTAGTAATTAAGTAAGCCTTGCTTGGACGTACTGTATGTACACGGGCTTCTGTGGAATTTACCTCCGAGTTAAGGTTTTCAGATATGGGAATAATATACAAGCTATTGAAACGTCTAGCTTTCGTTTTAGCTGCTGTGTTATCTGGCGAGCCAGCCACTTTGAGCTGTTGTCGCAGGTCCGAGGCAGCTCCGAAGTTCTCTCTTGCGAAAGGCCCAGCTGCGAGCCAGCCCGCCTTCTTTCGCCAAATTGAATGGAGGCAGCTCCCTTTCCTCTTTTGTACCATTTTCTGTGATTCATATTTATAGGCTAGAAACATAATCAGGTTTTTGTTTTCGTTTTGTTTTGTTTTGCTCTTGGCTCGGTGAGTGCACATTTCCCCCCTCAGGTTCCCTCGTGGGATCGGACGGCCCGTTTTATAGAAATCTGTGGGGCAACTGGGTCTCTCCGCGGCTGGCGACCCGCCTGCGTCAGGGGATTGGTGGGCGTGGGAACCAGCGAGCGTGGTCGTCTCGCCTCCCCCTCCTGAATCGGGGCAGCGGGGAGGGGGGCACGGGGAGGAGAGAGCGGGAGCAGGTCTGATTGCCTCTTGTCTTTCTGTCTCCTTTCCTTCCTGCTCGCCTTGCCTTGTGTGGTTTCGGGACCCTTTAGCCACCCCTCGGAAGCAGCGCCGAGAACGTACCACCTTCACCCGATCGCAGCTGGACGTGTTGGAAGCGCTTTTTGCAAAAACCCGCTACCCAGATATATTCATGCGAGAAGAGGTTGCCCTGAAAATCAACCTGCCGGAATCCAGAGTCCAGGTCTGGGGGCTTTTAAAGAGCGTTTCTGGGGCTGGGGAGAGACCGGGGCCTCTTTCTGCGGGAAGGGGGTCGTTGGGGCACGCCAGTTGGCTCGGTTCGCGTACCGCTTCTTTCAAACTCAAGTAAGAAGGGATGTGGACGATTCCTTTTATTGGAAAGATTCTCCTGATTCCTAAAAGTTCTTTAGGACTGGTATTTATTGGGGTAAATTACTCTTCTTCGCTCACCCTAAATAGTAATTGTGCAAGGATCGACAGGCCCAGTGCTGGAATGGCAGAGGGGCACGCTGAAGATCCTTCTCGGTTTATTGAATCTGGCAACTTCCCTTAGCTCCCTTATCACTTTAGAGGAATCAATACTTTACAGATACTTATTTTCTCCTCTTCTCCAATCAATGTCAAGGCAACATCCGAGGCCTAAACACATGTCAATGGATACACTCCAGCACAAGTTAGTTTTCACTAATTTCCATGGCAATCAATAGGATTCTTTTCCTCACCTTGAGTGTGTCTCAGTAAAACTTAGGGTGATACTGGATGTAGCACATATGGTGCACAAATAGTGGAAGGAAGGTTAATTTATTCCTTTTTAATTCTTTTATGTATAAGATTAAGACTACACAAACATTTTAAGACTGCCTAAGCAACTTTAAAATAATTTGACATCCTAATCCTTAATGCACTTGTAACATTATCCACACTTGTTTATCTGGAAATAAATTTTACTGGGACTTATTCAAAGATATATTGGTTAAAATGCCACATTTCTTAAAACTGAAATCAAATTGATTTCATTGATTTAAAAGTTTTTCTTTTTGAATGTAGGAGTTATATTGAAAGCTGCTGATGCATCTCCAGTCCTCTGGTTGGTGGTTTAATTTGTAGTTGTAAAATGAATAAACTTGTGATTAAGATTTGGAGTCTTACCCTTGCTCCTTTATGTCAGGCCTTTTAAATTTATCTCCTCTTCTTTCCCCTGCCCCCAGCAACAATTCATTCTTCTCGAGCAGAATTGAATCTCAGTTGTTGATTTGAGACTCAAATCTGGACAGAAGGATAGGCACCAAACTATCTTTAGGATGTAAATAAGTGTGTAATTAAAGTACAATCACACCTTTGCCATGCAAGCTGGATTCTTCCTGTTTGTTTGCTATGTGTCCTATTTCTCACTGAGAGCAACTTGAAACCATGAAATGAAAGCATTTAAGGGGAGGGGAAAGAATTGAAATTGCAAGTAAATCATATAATGATGATTTCAATATGTATATGTATGGTTGGATCAAATAAAGCAGGACAGATTTCACATGCAATCATCACAGACCTGAGCTGTGAAAAGCGATGTATACAGAACATTTACAAAATCTGAAGTAGCCTTAAGATCATAAGCAATTTGTTGGGAAGTGATTGATTATTTTGCCAAAATGAACACATTAAAATTTTCTGGCATTTTTAAACTATTGCTATTAACTACTCAGGAATGTTCTACTTTTGAAAGTTGTGAAAGATTGCAGAAATTATATATTTAACTTTTTTTAACAATGGAAACAGCAGTTTGTGGATGCCTACCCATTAGAAGAATGGAAATACTAGATACTTGGATTCTGGACTAAATATTTAGGGGCTTGGATTGGTTCAGTGAACTCCCATTTACCTGTTGGCTCGTCTGTTTTTGGGTGGGGTAAGTCTCTGATGAGGAAGGCTGGAAAATATTATATGAATTTGACTTGTGTATAATCTGAATGAGAGATGAGTGCCCTATCTTGAGGTTATATATAAAAAAGGTTGAATTGTGCAAGTGATGAATGTAACAGTACCTTTGCTATAGTTGTTGTACTAGTGGCAACATTTAACATATACTGTGTAAGTGTTGTTCATTGTAACTCTGCCTCAGTCTATAGTGGGTCTTTCTTTGAAGAAATAGATATAAAATACTTTGTTACAGTTTAATGCAATAGAATATTAACAGATGTACATAAAACTCTGGATGCTGTATTCCATCAATAATATGGTTGTTAAAATTTATTGCAACATTATTTTTATATTAATGAGAACTCTCTCAAGAAGTAAAATAGACTAATAGAGCAGACAGATTAATCTTAACCTTAGATGAACAATTTAGTCTGTCCACCCTTTCTGACTTTTAATTTTACACTTTCACCTATCTTTTCCATAAACTAATCTTAACATTGACTAGTAGGAGTTTGGAGGTCTGGTTCATGAATTGTGTTTATTTGGAATGGTATGGCAGGTGTAACATGTAGTAGAAGTGTGGTTGAATTTGACAAGGGATATCATGTCTATTCTCTTGGAAGTGGGTGTACCTGTTGGTTGGTTTAGTGTATCTTACAATATAAAATGTTGATGAAGGAGAATAAATTAATGATATTACGAATCAAAATTCCATCTTGCTCCTTTGAATGCAAGGGATGATACTGCTTAGAGATGAATGCTAGGGGTGAATGGCTTGAACATAACAAAAAGTAGCCTGGAAAGTAGGTAAAATGGTATTTGGTGAACATCCTAATCTCTCCTCTGGTATAAATGCACCTTCTATTTTCTAATGCAAGGCGTCTTAAAATATTAACACCAATTGGTAGAGGACAGGCAAGGAGCGTTATAGTTTACTGACAGCTTTGGGAAAAATTAATCTGGCTACTGTGATGGAAGCAATGGGTCCGAGATCTTGATCATCAATAGTTTCCTGTCTCTGTAGGCTTGGGAAGGTAATAGTGTGTAAATTCTGTAGTATATCTTGGATTCTGCTTGGATTCTTTTACTAAGGAATCACCTAATATCTAATCTTAGCTTCCTCCTGCATGCACTTTCTATATACATAGATCCAGAGAAGGGAAATGTATTTGTGAGGAATGCTCTCCCCTCCACCCAGCCCTCAGCCCTCTCACTGCTATACAGTATTAATAGCAAAAAGGACAGGAAGACCTGAGGGTTAAAGATTCAGGTACATTTATAAGTTCCAAACAAAGTTGATCAGTCAAGGGTGTGGTGCTAAGAATGAATATAGAAGCCTCTCTTCAAGATGGGGTTACTGAGTTACTGGGTTACCCTGATTTATGAGGAACCATTGACAAAGTTTTGGAAATTGGCAAGTACAGTGGAGATATAGCCAGCAGAATTGATGGCAGCGCTAAGAGAGAGGTGGACATCCTGCCAACGGGCAATGAGCGTTGTGATGCCGCATCCATCCTTGAACGCTTGGCTTCTCTTCTGCTGGACCCATCCTCTGAATATGTTCTTGGCGGTCCCACCTGTAGCTATTTGGGATGCGCTAAGCTAGGCTTGGTGGCTTCGCTTCCTGACAAGGCAGGATCAGAGAAGGGGCTAGAACTGTACATAGGACTGAAAGCTCTCTCTTTCGGTCTAGAGTCCCTGAGTAGTCCAGATCTGTTTGGCGCCGAAGGGGAACGTCGAATGAAGGGCGGGATGGAGGAGAAGGGATCGAAGCGACAAGAGAGTTGGTCGTAGACCGGACTGTGGGGCGGAGCAGGGGGGGGCAGACTGGGCCCGCCTCCTCCCTTCGGGTCCCCCCTGGGAGAACAGGGTCTCACGGAGCGCTGCCTTTGCCTCTCTTCGCAGGTCTGGTTCAAGAACCGCCGCGCCAAGTGCCGACAGCAGCAACAGAGCGGCAGCGGCGCCAAGAGCCGGCCGGCCAAGAAGAAGTCTTCTCCAGCGCGGGAGAGCTCCGGCTCGGAAAGCAGCGGCCAGTTCACGCCTCCCGCCGTCTCCAGCTCGGCCTCCTCTTCTTCGTCCAGCTCCAATTCTTCGGGCCCGGCGCCGGGCGGAGCGGCCTTGAGCAACCCGGCGGGCGCGGGGGGCGCAGCGTCAGGATCGGCCTCGTCGGCTGCCTCGCTGAGTAGCGCGCCGTCGGCCGTGGCGGCCTCGTCCATCTGGAGCCCCGCGTCCATCTCGCCCAGCGCCGGGCCGGAGCCCCTGACGTCCAGCGGGGCCTCCTGTATGCAGCGCTCCGTCTCCGGCGCTTCGTCCGCCTCTTACCCCATGTCGTACGGGCAAGGCGGCGGCTACGGCCAAGGCTACCCGGCGCCGCCACCCCCGCCGCACTCCTCGTCCTACTTCAGCGGGGTAGACTGCGGGTCCTACCTGCCCATGCACGCGCCCCCGCACGCTCACCAGCTCAGCCCGATAGCGCCCTCGTCCCTGGCGGGCGCCCATCCCCACACCCACCACCCGCTCGGCCAGAGCTCCAGCCACCACCATCATCACCACCATCACCATCACCACCAGCCCGGCTACGGCGGCCCCGGGCTGGCCTTCAACTCCTCCGACTGTCTGGACTACAAAGAGCCGGCCCCCACCGCCGCCTCCTCCTGGAAGCTGAACTTCAACTCCCCGGACTGCCTCGACTACAAAGACCAGGCCTCCTGGCGCTTCCAAGTCCTGTGAGGTTTGCCTCGGCCCCCGGCCCCTCCCTCCTGTAGCGCCCACTTTCTTCCCGGGTCCAGTCGGGACGGCCTCTCTTTCGTCTCGCAAGCGCGCTCCGTCTCGGCTTGGCTCTTCCGCGTGTTTGACCAGCTGGTGAAAGCGGCCTTTGAATTCGTTTCAAGAAAGGAAAGACGCTGTGAGGCAGCCGTTTGAATAGCCGACCGCTTCCAGCCCCTTCCCCATCACCGAATCTGGGCTGAAGGCTGCTGGGTCAGACCTGCTTGCCCTTCCTTGGACGTGCCGCTTCTTACCCCGCTGAGTTGACTCCTGACGTGTTATTTATTCGCTCCCTGGGATTATGTTCAGGATCGTAATTTTTTTTGTTTGTTTTTGAAGCAGAAGAGGACTTCCATCCTTCTCCTTCCAACCAGCCCCTTTGCCCAGCCGGCTAGCTTTGTGACGCTCGCTCGCTCGCTCGTGTGCGTGGAAAGACAGGAGAACAGGACGCGCCTTTTGCTTTCTGGCCGACAGCAGACTTCGTGTATAGACCTCCACCCCGCCCTCCCCCATCCCATTCGAGGACCCCCGCACCCACCCCGCCAACTTCCCTCTGTAGGTTTATATTGCAAAAAAAAAAAAGAAAGAAAGAAAGAAAAAGCGCGGTAGGAATGTACATACAGGGTTTAACGAGATCCATTCCAGCGACCCTTTTTAATGAAACAGCTGAAGGCGAACGCTGGAGGCTCTGCAGGTCGGAAGGGGAAGGAAGGCCACCCCTTCTCCCCCAGCCTATTGTCTTCCCTTACCCTCTTGGGGAGGGGGGAGGGGGAAAGCGATTGCCCGACGGAGTTGGAACTGGGAAGCAGGGGCGACGTGTTCGGGAGGGGCGGCAGGGGAGGGTGGGCAGCGGAAGGCGTGCTCTGCCAATGGAAGCGAGGTGGTGGCATAGGATTCCGGATTGGCCAGTGCAGCATCGTCTGGACCCGTTTCAACACCTGGCCGCGGGTCTCCGGACAGGTTTTTGGCCCGCTTGGCTCTTGGGGAGGGAAGGGAAAGACAGTGAGAGGGCAAAATGTATAAATTACTCCGTTAATCCAACAGTCACCTGTTGACATGTAAGGCAAATCCTACCCTTTATCTACATATGCCGATAATAAAATTCAAACTGACGAAAGCCCCTGTCTCTGTTATCCTTCCTGGGAAGATAGGGCAAGGAAGAGGCGGGAACTGCCTTCCCATTAGCTGAGCTTCTCTGCTGGTCTTCGCTTGGGTAGAAAAGGGGCAGATCGCTGTTACTTCCAAGAGCGGCGGCGAAGGGAGAGTTGGCCCGCTGCACTGAATCTCCCTGAGCTGCTTTTTAATGTCTGTAATTGGATTGGCGTCCAACCAAAACTTTGATGGGTCACATACGCAGGGAAAACGGTGTGATCGGGCCACCTCCCCTGGTTCTTTCTGCCAAAGCGGAAAAGTTAACCAGCGCGAACCTTCCTCGGAGACCGGAGAAGAAAATAAAGGGCCCCCTGTAGTTGGGCGGAAATGTTTCCATCTTAATTGCTTCTCTGTCACAGAGCAAACGGGCCGGACCGAGAGATGGTAGAACGGCGCTGGCCGTGACTTTCTGTAAATCCTCTCTCGCGCGCAATTGTCTTGGCCCCTTTTCTTCATCTGGTCACTTGGCAAGAGTTTCTGGGAAGTGAATATTTATGAAACTTAGGGATTGTTGTAACCCTGTCACTCTAGGCTGAACAAAAATGTCAAGAGCAAAAGCGGAATCTATTAGCTAGTGAAACCGAATGATTACGAATACCTTCTGCTACGATATCGAAGGAAATTCAAAGGATGTTTAGGATTTGGTAAGCAGTGAGGAGGGATCATTGTTAATTCCACTACCATAGTAAGACTGCAAATCATTTCCACTGACGTCGGTGGTGACTCTTAACAATACCTTTGTGTTCCACACTAAGAAAATCCAAAAGGTCTTTGACCAGGGTCGCACTTTTTATGTGGTAAACCCCACTAGAATTAATCTAGTGAGTTTAAAATTTGAGTTTAAGTGTAAGATTCAACTGCTGGAAAAGAAACAAGAGAATTAATCACATTTTTAAATTTAAAAAATCTATCTTTATCTTTACGTTGCATGCACCTATATTATACCTGGAAATACATACTTTTTTCTTCCTAAAAAAGCAGAGTTGGCTAAAACTATCAAACATAAAATAAAAGACAATGGAGGCAGGAGTTAAAATGCAATGTAACCTATCAGAAGACAGTAAGGGAAAAGTTATGCTAGTACTACAAGCCAGAATAATACAAAGTTTCCCTTCTTTTTGAAAACTTTTGATTTCATTTTTTTTTTAATTCTAAGAAAGAAAGTAAGTAATTTTTTACTGGGTCAATTTAGATTCACCAGTTCTAGCTTAAATCAGCATATATATTAATGTTAACGATTGTTTTGCTCTAATCAGTGAGACAACTATTCATACCAGTGCAATATCTATCGGTGTTATAGAGTTGTTCCATTTTTCCCACTCCTGAAATGGATTGAAGTTTGGGACAAATTTTTATTTTCAATAACTGATTATTTTATTCTCAATTGTTGTTTTTTTATTGAAAATTTTATAATTAAACGAATTATTCGATTTGGGAAGCGAAAATGATTACTTATATAAACGATGGTTGCAGAAAGGAAGGCTTGAGCCAATATTTCACACTCCCCGTCTAAAGCTCAAGGCAGGGGTTTGTTTTCACCAGGGGAGAGAGAAGAGGTCCTGTTACCGGAAGCGGAAAATGCGCCCTTCTGAACAGGTCTTTAAGCAGCGCTTCTCCCCACACCACGATGGGTCCCCTCAGACCAGGAATTCCCGGCGGCTCTCCAGAAGGGAGTCAGCTTCAACGCCCAACGTTTTTGATTTCTTTGGGCGTGGAAGAAGGGCCGGAGCAGCCGCCCAGCGCTGGCAAACTCGCACCCTTGCACACCAGCCTTTCTCGACGTGCAGCGTGCCGCGACCCCTGCCGAATTCTAGACAGCCACTTCAGCGGACAGACGTGAGCGCCCTCTCGGGGGATGGTACGCCTCCTCCCCTCCCCCGTCGGGAAGAAAGAGGACGCCACTGGGAATGGGGGCCTTCAAAGCCTCCAGGGGCCCCTGGAAAAAGACCGCCTCCTTTCCTGCGTACGCTTTCCGTTAGCCAGGCCAGCGGGGCAGAAAGCTGGGTGGCTGCGGGTGTTAGGAAATGGCAGGAGGGCGCAGTTGCCAGGGGAACACGGTTGCGCGGCACATTCCCTGTCGCCAGGCTTCTGCCGGAATCCGGTGCAGGCCCAGGAGGGAGAAACCGACAAGGCTTCGCGCCTTGCTAGAGCAACTTGACACCAGAGCGCCGGAAAGACAGTCTTAGGCCCCTCTGCAGTAGAAGGTGCCCGGACAATTTCCTTTCTAGGAAATGTGAGTAGACAATTCCTTGGAGCATGGGCAGAGCGCTAATTCCTAATATGCATCCGTCTTTGGTCCGGATTAAAGGGAGATGGGCTTTTAAGTGGCCCGTTCTGACATCCCGGACCTCTGATTTAGACATTAAGCTCTGCGTGACTTTGCACCTTGGACCCTCTCTTTCACCTCCGCCCCGGCGTCTTTTGAGGCGGCGGCGGTGGATAAATTGTGGCAGAAGGGCAGAAACGTCAATATAATTAGCATAATCGTTTAACGTGGTTGCAGTATTCCTCGGAGAGCAGCTGGGCTAAACTATGCCTTCACTCATTCTCCGATCTTGCACACTTTCTTTGCACACGGAGAGGAAAAAAGCCACAGGACTGTCGGGAATGGAGCCCGGATGTGCCTCATCCCACCGCGGTGTAGGATTCTGTAGTACTTCGGCAGACTTCACCCCTCCCATGCACGGCCCGTGTTAATAACATAATTATTTTAAATCACACATTTATGGTATTTTTAATGGGACCAAATGAGGGTTCTGCTGTATTAAGTACGTACTTCCCCATTCCTGGGGTGGGGGAATCGACGAGCGAAACGTTTGTCCAGAGAGGCTGGAGCTCCAGTTTTCTTCCCTCGATCCTTCCCCCTCCTCCTCCTCCAGCGAAGGCAGCTGCTCTGAGCCATTGGCTGAACCGATCCAGCTCCCTGCCTCACTAGGGGCTGCTGCCTCTTAGGTATTATGCTCAGATAGGGGCTCCCTGGGTCATAAGAAAGGGGGGGAGGGGAGAGAGTTTGGGTCGGTTTCCCCCACAGCCCTCCTGTCTTTTCCCCTGCTCGAGAAGCGGCTGAGAGAGGAGTTGCTTAGCTGGCTCAGGTAGGATTAAGCTACCAGACTGGCTGGGGAACACCGGCATCTTGCCGCGTGAAGTCCTGGCTAGTGGGTGGGCGAGAGAGCAACGCCGCTTCCCGCGTTTCAGGGGCTGGGAGAGAGAACGCGTGTATGGCGGCGGCGGCGGCGTGGGGCTCTGAGCGCGCGAAAGAGAACAGCCCTCGGGAGAAAAGTTTTTCGGGCAATTGCGCAGAGCCGCCTTTTACTTCCAGCAACTGGAGGACGGCGCTTTTCTCGGCTGGCTCCCACCCGAATCGAGATTGTTCCTCACAGCGCTCCCGGCCACTGCGACTCCCTTTTAGACCTGTAATAAACTCTCTTTGGGAGGGAAGCCGCCAGTCGGGCACCCGGCCGGCCCTCACCCACCCCCCACCCCTGCGTGGCCGACATTTCCAGCGCCTCACTCGGGTAGGTGTTGCAAGAGACCGGCAGGAGCGTGCGAAGAGCCGGGGTGCTGCCGGGCGAACCCGAAGCGGAACCACTTTTTCCACACCTGCAACGTAATTAAAGTTCTCCTGGGAGCAGCCCTCTTTTCTTCTTCTTCCCACCGCCCTCCCCCCCGCGGGTCACGTGGCAGCGGCCGAGCAGTCGCGAGAGGCGGGCGGTGGAGAGGAGCAGGAGGCCTCAGGCGGGCCGAAAGGGCGTTTCTTCTCGGCTGCGAGATGCCCTCCGGGAAGCCGGGTCGAAGGGAGGCGCGAGCGCGGACTGCTCGAACACCTGCGCCGCGCGCTTCCTCACGCTATTTTTCCGCCAACTCAGCTCGGCCGGTGCCAAGAGTTGCGGCACAACCAAGGGGAAGTCGCCGCCACCGCCGTCGTGGTGCCACCGCCGGCGAAGCAAGGGCGTTCGACGCTTCTCCAGCGTGCCTGTGATTGAAAACGCCCGAGGCCGAGTAGCTGAGTTCATCGGGCGCCTGGCGGAGAAGCGCAACTTCTCGGAGGTTGCTCGCTCGAAAAGGCCAGCGCAGAGATGCGCCTCTGTCTCTTCCAGCGCTTCTCCACGGCGGGGCGAAAGCAGCGGTTCGTTGCTCAGTTCGCGGTGAGGAGAAGTAGCTGAGCAGCGGGAGATTCAGAAGAACGGGGAATCTTGTTTCCGCGCAAGCGGTTTATATCAAGAGCGCGCGGCTCAGCTCCAATGAACTCAGCTCCGTCTCTCCCTCGTTGGTTGCTGCGTATCGGTGCTGCGTAACTTTGCCCAAGTTCCCTTGCTTTGAGGGAGTCTTTGGGTAGTGTTGGCCGAGAACGGTAGCGGCTGGCTAAGCAGAGTTCCAGGTCCGAATGCTTCCAAACTTTCTCGTCATAAAACTTTGGAAAACGTTTCATGAGCAAACATTTAAGTAGATTTCCCTACCAAAGCACTACCAGGCTGTATTAATTACCCATTGGCGTAATCTAATGCGAATGGAGTAAAATAAGACAAGCAGTAGGATAAATGCGCTGGTGAAGTGGAGGCAACATTTCAGTCATCAAAGTTTCTTCTGCAGTTCTATTGAGTCCGCCAGGCTGTCATTTGAGATATTTGTCTAAATTCAAGAGGCCAAGCAACTACTCTAGAGACCCCTTGCTATTTTCTGTGGGTGCGAATGTGCGTTTGTATTCAAGTCACTTTTAAGTCTGGCTATATTAGTAAGTTTTCTGTGTTCAAATTTCAACCAGGATACTACAGCAGCTCTTGGGAATCTAGTCTCTGGTTTATATTACTGTATGTGAAAGAGGCCAAGGCTACGGCAACCAAAACCACTTGAGTACTTGAGTAAGAGCCATCTCTAAACAGATCTGTTCAAGAAAATCTGCTGAAGTGGCATTTCCGCAATCGGTTAATGGGGGGGGGGGAATCCCAAATGACTATTTTACTTGCT